CTGCACGTCAGCTTTGTGTACTGCGGTTACCGGGGAAACCACTATATTTCTGCAGTTCTGAAAGTGAAACCTGCTGGCAGAGAACGAATTTGCTTTTTCAATAAGCCCATCTGCTATTTTTGCTACATATTTTTAAATGTGAACCAGTGGATCGACAAAAAGCTAATGCATTATAAAAATCTAAACAATTAAGACACTAAGATATATTTAGATGTTATTTAATATAATAATTAATTGATAATAATTGTTTAAATTAATATGATAATTGATACTTTTGACTCATCCCTTTTCTTAAAAATTGTTTAAAGGCTGAAATGTGAAGTGCAAAGGTATTTAAGGTATTTAAAGGTCTTAAATTTGATTTTAAAAATCCTGCAGATACCAGGTTATTTTATGGTACCATTTGGAATAACTTTTTTTTTTTTTAATTAAGCCCTTTTTAACTGTCCTTTTAGGTTGTTTTGAGAATGTTCTGTAGGCTACTAATAAAAAAAGGACCTCTGTATATTTTTTGTTGCAAATTTAAAGACAATGCAATTGAGATGTTTACATTGGCTTGTCGGGGTAATATTTCTGTCCACTGACAACAACGTTTTCCTTCTGAATTAGCATAACTGCACAAGTTTTGTACTTAATAAAATCTTTAAAAAAAAATGACATTAGTTATACTTTCATTTCCTTCAATAAAAAGGAAATTGAGTAAAACGGTGTAAAAGGTGTGTGGACATGGATTAGTAATCTGGCCCCTTGGTATAAAGGAGAAAAAATGCTGGCCCTCGTCACTATCAAAGTTGCCCATCCCTGATCTATGGTGTCGAACGCAGCACTAAGATCAAGTAAAACTAGTAATGAGATGAAGCCTTGGTCTGATGCAAGAAGCAAGTCATTTGTAATTTTAACAAGTGCCGTTTCTGTGCTATGGTGGGGCCTGAAACCTGACTGAAATTCTTCATAGAGATCATTTTTTTGCAGGAAGGAGCACAATTGAGCAGGCAATTTTAGACATAAACAGAAGCATATGCATAATTATATGCAAGTAAACCTAAGCCAAACCCTAACCCTAACCATATAGTAAGTACATGTAGTTAATTAATATTATTCAGTACTTACACTGTATAATTAATGTATAATTACACTGTAACAAGGACACCTTAAAATAAAGAGTAACCAATTTTGTAATCTGATTACGTAATACAGATTACATATAATCTTTTACTACCCAGCACTGATTATATCATCCTGTCATTTTCAGATGCAACCTTGATCTACAAACCATAATGGGTGTGAATGGAGAACAGCAGTTGGCGCGCTTCTCGTTCGAGACTTTTCGCTTTGTGGAGCACAGAAACAGGACGGTGTCGACCTTTTATCTGCACTGCACCACCAGGCTCTGCGAGAGCTCTTTCTGTAGATCCTTACGGCAGGTATGAACACAACCCTATGACAACATGTACCATTGCTAGCAAAAACCTTAATATGTAATTCACAAGAGGGCCTCATAAACCATCATCTAACTGAAGTGCATTTAAATGTGTCTTATGATACATGCATCAGGACTGCACAACTTCTGGAAGAAAGCGGAGGGCCGTCCAGTCAGCTCAGGGAACCTCAGTGAGTGACGTTGCCACGGTGAGCTCTGGGGCAATCATCACCAAAGTGGATGGTAAGAGCAGTCAGCTGTTTGAGAGATATCGTTCAAAATATGCATGAAACAGGGTTTATGCAGGTCTTAAAAAAACTTAATTCACCCTTCCACAAAAGGCCTAAAAAGTTCTTAAATAACAGCAGAAAGTCTTAATTTTATAAAAGTCATGGCATTAAATGTTGCATGCACTGCAAAAAAATTGACTTCCTCAGTATTTTTGTTGTTGTTGTTGTTTTCCAATACAAAAATCTAAACATCTAACCACATCAAGATTAATTTACTTGAGATGCAAAATGAACACATGAAGTCTTGTTTTCTGAGAAAGTGAACAAAAGTGTATGCTTAAAACAAGAACAAATATTGAATCAAATTAAAACATTGTATGTTTTAATTAATTTTCTCATAAAACAAGACTGCTTATGTTATGTAATTTTGCTTCTCAGGTAAATCATTTTTAAACATTTGCACTGGAAAAAAAGTTTTTGTTTTTTTTGCAGTGTGATCATAAGGTACAGTAATTTATTTCCATATTCTAGTAGCAAAAATATTCAAACTAATTATTTATTTTTGTAAATTTAATTAATGTTGAAAGTTTTATTTACGATGTGTCTGAAGCATTGCTAAAGCAATACATTTACATTAGAGACCACATGGACCTATTTTGTTAATTTATCTATTTTTATTCTTTAAAATGTATTTATTTTTGCTTAGTTTTAAAAAGGCCTTAACAAGTCTTACATTTACCTTCATAAAACCAGCAGAACCCCTGATGAATAAAGTTTACTGACGAGTAAAGATGTTCTACTGTCATTTGGATGCGTTTTATTTTTTTTTTTATGTATTTTAACTTTTATTATAATGACATGTTTGAACTCATTTTTTAAATTTTCTTTTTTTATAATCCTTATAGAACCATTTGGACCTGTTGCTACAGGTATGCACTTGTTTTCTCTCCTTTAAATTTGAATTAGAGATCTCCTAAACCTTTTGTCAGCTGTGTGCTTTTTTAATGGGTCAATTTGGTGTGCCTGTGTTTGTGCAGTGTCTAAGGAGCTGAAGCAGGACAAGACAGTGGTGGGCATCTCTGTGGCAGCGGGGGTATTCGGAGGCCTGTGTGTCATCATGCTGGCTGTGCTCATCTACAAGATCCACAAGGACAAGTTCAATGCAGACAAATCAAACCTTTTCCATTGACAGCTCTCAGAGATCCCAGTCTTCTCAACTGAGATGCTCATCATCGTGAAATCTGTTCTCATAGACACTGTAAAAAGGGCTTCTGCGTCTAGTCCTGTAGTTTGATTGAGCTCAAGGTTTAGAGGACAGGAATGGGATGACGAGTAGATGCCATGAGGAAGAACAAAATGTCATGAAACCACTATTATAAATAGATGTGTGCCTTACAGTAAAACAGTCTACTGAATGGATTAGTCATACTTTTTTGCATGCCAGTGTTCATTATGATTTTAACTATACTCCATTTATATATATCTGCATTTTTGGGTTTTCTGTAAGAGGGCATTCTTGTAAAAAAAAGATTTTTGTTAATGTTATGAGTAATTAAAGCAACCCAGGATATATTAATTTATGGTATTAAACACTAGCGTTCATCTACTCAGATTTTTGCTTTTAAAAAAAATTATAAGAATCTAGAAATGACCTGTGTGTGGCTTTTCTTTCACTTAATTTATATTAAGAAAATACACAATTAAATCCAAAAATTATATTAAATACAGAAAAAAAAAACTGCTAACCCGCATTATAAGGTTAGTTTATCAGTAATTGTTTTTTTTTTTAAAAGAGACTTTATTAACAGTTTAGAAACAATCTTCTCCCTTTTCCACATTTTTCTCTCCACACAGACTTGCACATGAAAACATGTAAAAGGCAAAACCAGTGAAGATGTGAAAGCAAACAAAAATATATCCATAATCCACTTTTCAGTTGAGTGAAATTCCTTTGATGCCAGTGCAGCATACTAATCATACTGAAGTCCATGAATACATGAGATGTTTGGCATAGATGATGCTCACAGGTACAAACGGCTGCTTTGGGAATCATGGAAAAAGTTGAACCAACAAGATGTGACAAACTGCTAAGCAACAATTCAGCAGGAACTTCACATTTCCTCATACACATTTCTGGACGCAAAGCAAAGGTGTCTTGGAGTCAGAGGACATGACATATACAACCATTTCAAGATAATCTGCATTTACACAAAGGACAGCGTGTTTACTTTGGTCAAGCATGCCATTTTTGATTTCCTTGTGACTCAAACAAACAGGGGTCATGTTTCTGAGAGGGAGAAGATCATTAATTCATGGATTAAGAGTGAAATTAAACAACTGTGGCCGGCGCACACAGCTTGGAGTTGGGATTGGTATTTTCTTTTGGCTCAGGGTCACTGAACTAGAACAACTGAAATAAACACCATCAGTCAAGCTGTTCCAATTTGCTGAGGGGGCCGGAAATTATTATTTTTTTTGAACCACTTAACGGAGTCAATAAATATAACAAATAAACCTTTAAGAATTCCAGATGTTATAATTCATCTCCTTTATGGTTTTCTGATTTGCTGCCGTCTGTTAAATCTGCAAAAAAGAAACATTACATGCATTTATATTAAGCAATTAAATCTATAGATTCTGATATTTTAGGTCAAAGAGCTCATGTTAAAATGATTTTGATGTTAGATTGATTAGTGGATTGTGAATTACCTGTATCTGTATTTTCTGCTGGATTTAGTTCAAGTATGGGTTCGTCGTCTTTTTTTTCAGCAGTTGGCGGCTCCTCTGCCGGCTTCACCTCTTCAGCTAAAAGCACAATTCATATACCGAATTCACTCCATATTAACAGGAAAAGTAACTAAATGAAGAGTTGCAAAATCTATATTAGTGGATTTGCGAAAACAAAATAATCAGTCTCACCATCATCGCTCTTGGGAGGAATAACCTTCTCTGCATCTTAGGTTTCTCTGTTGGGGACAATTTGTCCTGTTCTGCAACGGTCTCGTTCTTCCAAGTCTGCAACAAAAAAAAACATTAAAAAAAACAAAGCAAAACATGCAGAGTGAATCTCATGTTTGCGTGGAACTCATGAGGAAGGATGAAAGAAACAGGAATGTGGTGGTGGATTTGTCCTGTTCTGCAACGGTCTCGTTCTTCCAAGTCTGCAACAAAAAAAAACATTAAAAAAACAAAGCAAAACATGCAGAGTGAATCTCATGTTTGCGTGGAACTCATGAGGAAAGATGAAAGAAACAGGAATGTGGTGGTGGTGGTTTGGGGGATTATTACATACCATTGTCTCATTGATGACCCTCTCTAGAGTCTTCAGTTCAACCTCTGTGAAGATCTGGTCACTCTCAGGAATCAGTCTAACACTCCTGTGAACAACATCCCATGTAAGTTACAAAGTAGTTTACATTTATTTGGACTTGTCGCGGACTGAACTCAAAACTGCATTGCCCTCAAGATTACCAAGACAAAAAAAATTAAAAATACTTTCAAAAATACTTCTTTTATAAAAAAAATTTTGTTAATTCCTTCTATTATTGATGTTAAATTTAAATAAAGACAATAAAATTAATAAATGTATTCATTTTGATAAATTGATACATTTTTATAAAAAAATGTATCAATTACATTTTCAAAATTTAAATCTATTTTTAAACTGTTATTTAAAAATAAATTGATTAAATACATAAAAATAATACATGCAATAAAATAAATAAATTTGCATATTTAAAAAAACACGTACAGTATTAAATGAATAAATGCATAAAATATTTAAGTATATAAATTTTTTATAAATGTATTAATACAATTAATTTAATTAATATATAAATTAAATGTAAACAATTTTTAAATACATATTTTTACATCAATCCATCCATTTTCTTTCGTTCTTTCCTTTTTTTTTAATTGAAGTAATTGATGCAGCTCTCGCTCACTTGAGGAAGATGGTGGAGTGGTTAAGTATGCTGTCGAGAGCTGCCAGACTGTCAGGCCATTTTTTCCTCTCCTCCACTCTGAAGAACATGGCTTTACAAAGCTTTTTCAGTTCCGACAGCTTTTCCTTCAGCTCTTTAGTGCCAGCGGCGTACCCCTCCTCATCCATCCAGTTAGAAGCCTCGCTCAGCTTGCCTGTGATCTGCTCCTTCTCCTCCTCAGTCACGACAGCCAGATACTCATCCTGATACAGCTTATCCTAGACAGAGAAAGGAAAAATTAACTAGATTTGTTGTCAATTCAAAAGAAGAGTCGACCTAAAAAGGGAAGAAAAAAAAATCTATTTTGAGGTGATAATAGCTGTAATAACTGTCGTCCAAAATCCTCCATCATAATACAGCCTTAAGCCCACTATAGATTTCACCTAATGCTCTGCAAATGAAGCTTTTTAGGCCTGGACAAAGACAGTTCCATCACCATCACGCCACTGGATCTATGAGTCACTGCTCAAACACTGGGAAGGGCTGCAGAGAGCTTCATTATACCTGCGTCTCAAAGATAAAAGCCTCCAGGCTGTTCAGGATCTTTTCTCTCTCCTGCTTCTCCAGATCGCGGTCAGTGAGGTCCTGCAGCCTGATATGAGGGAGGAACACATGGGAATTCTTTAGAGATTCTTCAGTTACTACAGAGTGTCTGTCCCATTTCTCGCTCTCAGTTAATTCATTCTCCACGTTAATTAATTCTGAGAAGCAAGAGACACTTACTTCTTTTTGGACACCTCCATGTCCTCTGTGCTGGGATCGAGAACATCATTCACCTCAAGCCCCACTGTGATGTCTTCTGATATTTTGCTCTTTTTTTGTGGTTTGGGTTTCTTGTCCTCCTCTTTCTCCTCTGCTTTGTCACCGTCTGATTTCTCTTCAGGCTTTTCGGCTTTCTCGGCATCTGTCTCTCCCTGTGTGACGGAGGTGAGAGTTCACTTCTAAACAGATTCCAAAACTAAAAATTCTGAGAAGCAAGAGACACTTACTTCTTTTTGGACACCTCCATGTCCTCTGTGCTGGGATCGAGAACATCATTCACCTCAAGCCCCACTGTGATGTCTTCTGATATTTTTCTCTTTTTTTGTGGTTTGGGTTTCTTGTCCTCCTCTTTCTCCTCTGCTTTCTCACCGTCTGATTTCTCTTCAGGCTTTTCGGCTTTCTCGGCATCTGTCTCTCCCTGTGTGACGGAGGTGAGGGTTCACTTCTAAACAGATTCCAAAACTAAATCAAATGGAGTAACTCGCCAGTGGCTGGTAACTTCATATGAAACTGCAATATAATACATGGCTTAAATTGAAATGTAAGAATTATAGTCTGACCCTTGCTGACGTAAGTGATGCGAGTAATTCAAATGGTCACGTTTTTGTGACAGGTCCAACTTTACATAGGGGCAGAGACTTCAATATAACGCAGTTTGTCACTAGAGGGTTCCCACACTTTGACTTCTGAGAGTCCGTGATTGACTGTATAAAGATTTTTTGAAAATCATAAAAAAAAAAAAAAGTTTAAAAATCATTGGTTGTGCACCTGTAAAACGATTTTTGGCTAAATAATTCTATAAAAAATATTTATAAAATAAAATAAATAAAACATGTTATATCTTATTTTTTTTTTATAGAAATTGTCATGACTTCTACACTTTCAAAATTTCCTGATAAGGTAAAAAAACAACAACAACAACACTACTCTAACTGGCATTAAAATATATTTCCAAATTAAAATAATTGTTATAATAATAATAATAATAATAATAATAATAAATAATGCAATATTCTGTTTCAATGGCCAGCAAAAAAGAACTATTTCTAATAAAGTATAATTTGTATTATATTGATCATAGGTCCAACTTTACATAGGGGCAGAGACTTCAATATAACGCAGTTTGTCACTAGAGGGTTCCCACACTTTGACTTCTGAGAGTCCGTGATTGACTGCATAAAGATTTTTTGAAAATCATATAAAAAAAAAAAAAAGTTTAAAAATCATTGGTTGTGCACCTGTAAAACGATTTTTGGCTAAATAATTCTATAAAAAATATTTATAAAATAAAATAAATAAAACATGTTATATCTTATTTTTTTTTTATAGAAATTGTCATGACTTCTACACTTTCAAAATTTCCTGATAAGGTAAAAAAACAACAACAACAACACTACTCTAACTGGCATTAAAATATATTTCCAAATTAAAATAATTGTTATAATAATAATAATAATAATAAATAATGCAATATTCTATTTCAATGGCCAGCAAAAAATAACTATTTCTAATAAAGTATAATTTGTATTATATTGATCATATTAGGTCTTACATTAAAATAATTATCAGCTAAAAAGAAAAATCTGTATTGGGTCAGCTAGAGAAAAGAATCTACAAGAAACTCTAGTCAGGTCCTTCAGTTGGTGTTTGGCACTGCATGTTGTATAATAAAACATGAGGGGAAGTCACAAATCTCTCCTGAGAATAACAGGGTGGAACTAGTGAACTTGAGTCTCATGAAAGCCTAGAGGTTCCATAATCACTCTGCACCTCTCCAGAAATGTGATGAACTGTGAATAATCTCACCTGAGTTTCTGCTTTATCTTCTTTG